CACATTGCTGACTCATAATACGTGTATGTAAGTGTCAAAGAGGTGTTGTAAACTGTCCATAGCATCTTAGTGATTTTGTTAATTTATTGCAATGGTGTAAGGCTAACAAAAAATTGTAGAATCTTTAATAATGTCATTGTCATTCCATAAAACATCAAACCTAAACTTAAAAATGAGCTTATTGAAGTGAATTTATAAGTGCAAAGGTTGGTGCAGGCGAGTTGGTACCAGGACAGGGCTTGATACTAATGGTAGCCCACTAGCCACAGACTACAGTAGAAATTCAGTTTTGAAAAGTGGTTTTTGATTTCCACATGCCAGTTTGGCAGTAAACAAACTGAAATTATCAAAACATCTAAGATGTCACTAGCCACTTGGCTAGTAAGTTGAAAAGTTAGTGTCAAGCCCTGCCAGGGAGAAATGGTTGGATACTATAAACCTTCCCACCCCTTGAATCTAGAATGATTCAAAAGAAACTTCTCTATGACCTATCCTCAGAAGTATAGACCTACCTGTTGATGTATTTTGGTCTCTTTTCTGTTGGTAGTAATCCAAGCAATCTTCATGGAGAGATCAATCCTTTCAATGGGAAGCTATTCTCGGACAAATATTTTGACATTCTCAAGAAGAGAGTTGAGCTACCAGTATGGGAGTACAGAGAAAAATTCATGGAAACCATGAAGGAAAAACAAGCTTTTGTTCTTGTTGGCAAGACTGGATCTGGTAAAACAACCCAAGGTAATAGTTACAGGTAGTACTTGTTTGCTTTGACAAAGGGCAAACACTTGAAACACTTTACGGTGAGCATTAATATTTTTACATTATCAACCAATGTAACAATACTAAATTATCTTAGTAGTTTATTAGAAGTTGGGTTAAATTGTACTCCTTATCAGATGAACTTTGGCTGGGGAAATTCGTGGAATTAAAGACTGTAAATATTTGGAAGAATTCAGGCTTCAGTTGGGTGTAACGGATGCCTACTACATGTAGATACTAGTTACTGTTGGTACAAATTCCAGCTGAGCTACTGTGTGAAGCTAATTAATGGAAGTGAGGTACATTTTAACAGATTTTTTTCCCTTATTCCTTGTAAATATAGTAGGGTCTCAACTGTTGTTTGTTGTAAACTAAATGTTTACCATGCATGCAAACAAGGTAAATCTGTTTAGGTTTTTGGATTGAAGAGCACTCAATCACCATTTCCTCTCAGGCAAATTTTTTTTTTCTTTTATTCTATACAGTTCCACTCTCTCTTTGCAGGGCTTAACACTAACTTTTCAACTTATTAACCAAGTGGCTGGTGACATCTTAGATGTTAGGACAATGTCAGTTCATTTACTAGACAAACTGGCTAGTGGAAACCAAAAACCACCACCCAAAGCTGAATTTCTACTAGTCTGTTGCTAGTGGGCTACCATTGGTGTCAAGCCCTGCCTTGGCAGTGTAACAGACACTTTATTTTAATGCTATGAAATGGTAATCATTAGGATCAACTTGTTTCTCGTGATCACAGGCAGATAATACATCCAAGACCAATTATTCCTAGTCTGTGTATTGCCTTGGATGTGGCATTGTTTTGAATTAAGTGCAGTTTGCTGTGAAAAAAGAAAAACAATTTTGACAAACTTTTTTACTTTTGTAGATTCCACAGTGGTGTCTTGAAACTCGCATCGACAAATGCAAATGTGTGGCTTGTACGCAGCCCAGGAGGGTTGCTGCCATGAGTCTTGCTCAGCTTGTACATGTAGCTGACGAATTGGATGTCACCATAGGTCAGGAGGTTGGTTACACAATCCGATTTGAAGAATGCACTAGTCCTCGCACTATATTGAAGTAAGGAAGACAAAGTCAGTTTCATCCTTAACTCTGTAACTCTCAAGATCTGATTGTTAATTCTTACCTCTAGCTGCTCAATATTTCCTTGTTAATTAAGTATTTAGGAGAATTTGGTGTTAGGTCAAAATGAGAATCACTAGTGGGAGATAGAGTTAAAAAACAGGAAGGAAGAGGGCGTGAGAAAATGCAAAGGCATTAGTTTGGCTGGTAGCTCTATCCCAGATGTCTGAACAAATGAGATAATCAGTCCTGACTGTAATTTAAAGCTCATTTTAATTTGTTTCCAGGTACATGACAGATGGTATGTTGTTGCGTGAGGCTATGACTGATTCTCTACTAGATCATTATGCAGTCATTCTTCTTGATGAGGCTCACGAGAGAACTCTTGCTACTGTTATCCTCATGGGTCTACTGAAAGAGGTACAGTGTGTGCATGCATCTGGAGATTTCATATTCTTCTAACAAGTACCACAGTATAGCCAACAAAACTGTTGACACATTGACCCATATAACTCCCTGTTACTTCATTGTTAATTTCTTTTGTCCTTGTAGTAAGTTACATGTTTATCACATTTTGG